CACACACTCACACGTACGCACACGCACGCGCACACACGCACGCACACACTCACACGTACCCACGCCCACACACACTCATACACTCACACGTACGAACGTACGCACACGCACGCGCACACACGCACGCACACACTCACACGTACCCACGCCCACACACACTCATACACTCACACGTACGAACGTACGCACACGCACGCGCACACACGCACGCACACACTCACACGTACCCACGCCCACACACACTCATACACTCACACGTACGAACGTACGCACACGCACGCGCACACACGCACCCTCCCAGCCACTCGTACTCTCATGCTCGCATGCATATGAACAGGTCAGACAATCAATGGCAGACATGTAGAAGTGAATAGGCCGTGGTTAACGTCGCTAGATAAAGACCCGCATGATTGGGTCGAAGCACCGAGTGTGAAGCCACCGTGCCTAGCTCACACACCGCCAGATAGCGCCGCGAGCGCTCCATCGATCAGCTGTTAGCGCGTATATCGGCTTTGATTGCAACACATGAATGCTAACATTGTCATCCCATCACCTTAACACGGCCACTGACATTCTGTTTATACCAAATAGCGAATTAATGGTGAGCTTTATTCCGTAGCGGAAAACGCTCATCATTATAATAATAGCATAGTGTCTAGATTAATACAAGACAACAACAGAATACAGAACAACTGAAAACTTGACAGGAACAGTAACTGATACGCTGAAGGGGCTGCTGCTGCTTGCTATACGTCGCTAGGATACAAGGATAATGGATAATTCATGTGTTAACCAGGGAATCACGCTCGAATTGCCGAATTTGATGAATTGAGAGTTATTACGCAATCAATCCCCGCTGGGATAATTACTAAAACAGATTTAGGCTTTCATGCAATTATCTTAGCGATTATGCGGTTTGCCAACGTATCTCAGCACATGTACATGCCGTTGGAAGAACTGCTATATGTAGCGTTGTTTATGCAATGGGTTAGCCTTAAAGGAATTGTGTCGAACTTTAACATATCAAAATAACCCAGTCACACTTCAATATGTGATAGATATATTTCTATTCTTTTAGTATTTCCAATAATCTTTCAGAATCATCACGCAGTAATGTTGCTACATGCGCTAACGTATGCGAAATTACTGCGATAACAACTTCGATGACAACTCCGATATGCATTTAAAATGGTTAGGGGGTATCTCAGCATAGATTTCTGCAAAAAATCGTTTTTAGTAGACCTGTGTTTATAAT